CCACTGCCACAGGGACTGCAGCCCACGCCGTCGCCGGCGACTCATGGCAGCCCAGCTCCAGGTTGAGCTGCTGTTCAGCATCTTAGCTGTAGAGGGCGCAGTGTCACTGGCCCTCATGAGTGGGATCCGAACCGGGGCCCTCTGGCGTCCCAAGCCAGTTCTTAACCATCGCGCCACTCGGCCGGCCCGAGACCATTTCTGTTTACTTTGCTCGTTCATTCAGTTTTTTAGATTCCACATATAAGTGAAATCATATGGTATTTGTCTTTCTTCGACTGACTTATTTCACTTAACATAATAGTCCCTAGGTCCATCCATATCGTTACCCTAGGTCAGCTTCTTGTAAGGACGGAGCTCACAGTTTTTCTTAGTTTGTTCCTCTTGTGCCAACATGGCCCTCATTTAAGTTTCCCTTATTAGATCCCTTCTGTTGTAATACCTAGAGTTTTTCTGTTTACTTAACAAGAGACTGGTTGATATCATTACATACAGATCGGGAAAAGTTAGAAAGCCTGGTAATACCAGGTATTGGGTTAGGATGTGGAGCAACTGAAACTGCTGAAGGGGGGTGTAAATTGGGACACTTTGAAAGAGTTTGGCATCAACTGTTAAAGCTAAAGATTGATACTCTGTAACTCAATAGTTCCGGTCCTATGTATAAAACCCAGAGAAACTGGTGCACATGGGCATTAAGATATGTGTACAAGCAGTATTTCTTGTGCAAACCAAAGCTGTTCTGGCTATTGTGAATAATGCTGCTATGAACATTCGTTTACGAGTCCATCTGTCTGAGTCCTTGCTTTCAATCCTTTCAGATATACACCTGGGAGGGGCATTGCTGGGTCAAGGGGTTGTTGTGTGTTTAACCTTTTGAGAAACAGCCAAATTATTGTCCACAGGGGCTGTCCCATTTTACAATCCCACCAGTAATGCACAAGGGTTCCGATTTCTCCACATCCTCGACAACGCTTGCAATTTTTTGCATTCCTGGTTATAACCATCCTAGCAGGTGTAGATGGTACCTCGTGTGGTTTTGATTTGTATTACCACAATGACTAATGATGTTAAGCACCTTTCCTTGTGCTTATTGGCCATGTGTATGTCTTCTTTGGAGAAATGTCAAGTCGTTTGTGTTTTTTTTCAATTGGCTTGTTAGTTTTTTTGGTTGGGCTTGTGTTCGGAATGGAACATTAAAAAAGGGAGCTGTGGTATGACCATCATCCACCCCTGTAGCCTAAGTAGCAGGGGAGAAAAAAAATCAGATGTGCAGAGAGCAGAGCAGCATGAAACAGGCTGCCTGCCCTCGAGGAGTGTAGTGGGTGCCATGGTGTGCCACCCAGAATCCTGCCAGGGCTGAAGCGCCATGCCGCCAGCTGCCAGCGAGTGTCACTGTGACAGCTCACAGCTGAGTTCTTGCCTGAGACTCCTTTCTGTGAAGGGAGGAGCTGCCATGCGGCAGATGATGCTCTCCTGGGCCACAGACCAGTCCATGCATGGGTACAAAGGGCTGGCCCCCTTGCTTTGACTCAGGACAACTCTGAAGGCCTACCCCAGCTTCCGAGCTCCCTGTGGAATTGGCTAAGGCTCCCAGCTGCATGACAGTACAACTTCTGGCCAGCCCAGCTTTTCTTACTGGCTCACAGGTTGTTTCCTGAGAGCACTTCCCAACAAGTGCTGTGCATGTACATCTGGGAGACTCCCGTTTCTGTTTCCCAGGAAACCCGACCCAAGACAGGAGGCTTAGGGAAAAGTTAAGAGGCTTGTGGTTGCTATGACGATGCCAGTAATTACACACAGTGCTGCATCTGGTTTTCCTTGCTGGGCCTCACGCTGGGCCTCGTTAAATTCATGTTTAGTAAATGAGACAGATTCGCGCAGGTTGGGGTGGTAATCATTTTGGCCTCTGGCATAGCAGAGCAGGTCCAGTCAACGGCATGAGGGAGGTCAAGTTTGGCTTTGGAGTCTAGTTTGTTTGTTTTTTTAAATCTTCCTCCTACAGGTCCCTCCACTGCACTAGGGACAAGATGTGAGGTGCCTCACCCAGCCCGGCTTCGTTCATTCAACAAGGACTGAGCACCCACGAGTGCGAGTGCGGGGCTCCGTTCTTTCATGCATCTCGCCACCACAGTGTCCTGACTGGGTCCCATCCACTCGGATCGCCGTAGGCAGCGACGCACACGTGCAGTCACTACCGCCAGCTGCGTTTTAAGCAAGCTGCTTCCACTAGGCTCCTGTTCCTCGTCTCGGGGAATTTCTCCTCACGTGAAACAGCAGCTCAAGTCCCCATTTTAGAGTCTGGAAAAGTCTCCAGGCTGAAAGTGGCACAGAAGGTCAGAGGCCCTCACATGGGCCCCAGAAAAAAATTTCACCCAAGCCGCTCCTGTGGCAACTGTGGAAACAGAGGTGAGTGTTTTATCCATCCCGCAGCCAGGGGCAGGCGGGTGGGGGGAACTTCTCGCGGGCTGATGTTCTATTCAATTAGACTCGATTCCTCCGCCGCCCACCGGGCCCTGCCTCCCTTGGGATGGTTGCGGGACTCTGATTTGCTTCGCAGTGCCCGCGGTTACGGTGGGGAGCAGGAGGACCGGCGTGCGGGGGTGGCCGCGCGCTCCCGGGCTGCGGGGAAGGGGGGTGCGGGGNGAGCCGCAGGGCCCCGGTTCGGATCCCACATGAGGGCCAGTGACACTGCGCCCTCTACAGCTAAGATGGTGAATAGCAGCTCAACCTGGAGCTGGGCTGCCGTGAGTCGCCGGCGACGGCGTAGGCTGCAGCCCCTGCTGCAGTGGGCTGCCATAAGCTACTGTGTGTGGCCCGGCATCCAGCGTGAGCGGCCAGGCAGCTGGTGTGAGTTGCCAAGAGCCGCTGTGAGCGGCTGTCCAGAGGCCGGCAACCGATCTGCTTCACCCAGGAAGAGTGCAATGATAATACCAACATGGGCCAGTGAAGCAACATCTTCCACAACCAGACTGAAGAACAAAAGGACAGCAACAACAACTAGACTGAAGAACAAAAGGACAGCAACTTGTCTGTTCCCCTTCCCCCAATTCCCCAACACTGTTCCCCTCCACCAATTCCCCAATAAAAATCTTTAAAAAAAATCACAATCAGGCAATCATTATAGTAATTTGATTCAGGCAAGAGCCATCAATCTACTGTAAGGAACAGGATATTCACATAATAATCTTCAAATAATCTCACACAGGTTAGTTATTAAGTACAAAGGGAAAATACTAACCTTACAACAGCGAAACTTGGAGAACATGTCTAGGACTTGGTGATTGAAGTAAACATCACCAACATGGGAATAAATCACAATCTCCTGCCACCTGATAGGATCAATGAGAAGAACAGTGTCATTGCAGGGCTATTCCTGCCACCTATGCATAACCTGAACCTAATGAAGTATCAGATGAACCCAAACCGAGGGACATTCTATAAAATAACTGGCCCCATCTTTTCAAAATGTCAAGTTGAGAAGGGCCAAGAAACACCAAGAGTGATCCAGATAAAGGAAGGCTGAGATGTAACAGGTGAACTTGGATTGGATCCCGGGCCTGAAAAATTCGTGTTACCGAGGACAAGTAGGACAACAGGCGAAATCGGAACCAAGCCTGTGGGTTGGAAAACTGTTTTATCCATGTTCATTTCCCGATTTTGACACATTTGCATCGTGGTCATGTAAGAGAATGTCCTTGATTTTAAGAAGCACACACCAAGGTATTCAGAGGTTAAGAAGAAGAAAACCAAAAAGGACTGAGCAAATCTCCTTCGGTCGGGCGCAGGCTCCGGAATGCCTGTGCTGAGGCAGGGGACACTGTGTGTGTCCCAAAATGAAGCTGTGACTGGTGATGGCCCAGCTTGATGGGATAGAGGGGCTGGTGAGCCTGAGGGGGCAGGAGAGGGCTTGAATGCCTGAAGGGGAGGATGGACAGAAATGCTGGGTCCCTGTGATGTGCCTGGTCTCAGTGCCAGTGGTTTCAGGGTGAGTGACAGACTCCAGGGCAGCTGGACAAACACCCTGGAGCTATTAAAAACCCCTCGCTGACACCCAGTGCCCGAGTTGGTAACAGTCTTTGGCCTCCACCATGCAATCACAAGAGGTCTCCATACTCCGCTGTCCTCAGGCTGAGGTGGCTGCCACCCTGCCCTGTCTTACTGGCCTCAGCACCCTCTGCGCCTGACATGTTTTCTCAGAGTCCTAAGGTGACTGAGGTGGTGGAGGGAAGTGACTGTTGTATATTTCTTCTCAACCAACGAAAGCTGTTTTTCGTGGGGCTAAGTAGCAAGCCCTTTCTGAGAATACCCACCGCTGCTATTTGAGTTCTTTTGCTCAGGGATGCTGGGTTTTTGTCTCATTTCAATTAGACCTTAAAAGTCACAAAATAAAGGTCACCCAAACCAACAGATCTTGACTCAGTGAAGCCCACTCTCCTCCCAAACTCACCTATCAGTGATATTCAAACTGCAATCGCCCTCCAGGCTAGGGCCCAATTGATCCCTTGTTGCTGGGAAGAGTCCCAGAGAGCCCCAAGGGAGGGTCACAGGGAAGCTGTTTACCATCAGGTCTGGGAACATTTCGGTTCAATAATTGGTACAATCATACTGTCAACACAGCCACCAATGTCCTCCCGTTGCCTCGTATTAGAAAAGGAAGCCACTTTCTCTCTTTGTGCCTGATGTCTAACTGGAGGGGACCTTATGGTTTATCTGTCCCCAACCCTTATATTTTCAGATTCATCAAAGAAACATTTCCAGGGCCGGCCAAGTGGTGTGTTGGTTAGGAGTTGGCTTGGAACACCAGCTCAGAGCAGCAGGGCCCCGGTTCAGATCCCATATATGAGGGCCAGTGACATTGCGCCCTCTACAGCTAAGATGCTGAACAGCAGCTCGACCTGCAGTGGGCTGCAGTAGGGTTGGCTGGCAGCGAGCGTGAGCTTTCATGAGCTGCAGTGAGCCGTCGCGAGTGGCCGTCCAATGGCCAGCGAGCGACTGCCTCACCTGGGAAGAGCGCAATGATAACACCAACATGGACCAGTGAAGCGATGTCCTCCACAACTAGACTGAAGAACAAAAGGACAGCAACTTGTCTGTTCCCCTTCCCCGATTCCCCAACGCTGTTCCCATCCCCCAATTCCCCAACAAAATCTTAAAAAAAAAAAAAAAGGAAAGAAACATTTTCTGAGCAGGTGGCTTATGCTGGGAGCTGGACCAGAGAGACATGTCAGGCGTCCCTGCCATCGGGCAGTCCATGATGACAAGAAGGAGAAGAGGGCACAGATAGAGAGAACAGGCTGAGGAGTGGGGAGGGATTTGGAAGAGGTGGGCATCAGGGTGACTCGCAGGATTCTGACCTGGGTGAGCAGTACTGGTGTGTGCTGTCAAGATGAGGACAAGAGAAGAAATGGGTAGGAGGCTAACGATAAAAAATTCATTGAGCCAGAGGCTAGAAAGAGGTGCTCTGAGAAGCTAGAGCGAAAGTACCAGAAATAGTGAATGTACCGCCAGCATCGTAGTGACAGCATCAAGGAGGAGCTCCTTCTGTGTTCCCCAAAATGTCAGGTGTGCCTCAATCAGCTCCCAGTAGCCTGTGATGGAGGATACGACAACCTTCCTCTCTTTTGTTGCTTCAGTCCTAGGACAGTTCCTAGGTCATCCTCTTTATATCTATCTATCTATCTATCTATCTGTCTGTCTGTCTGTCTGTCTGTCTGTCTGTCTATCTATCTATCTATCTATCTATCTATCTATCTATCTATCTATCTGTCTGTCTGTCTGTCTGTCTGTCTGTCTGTCTATCTATCTATCTATCTATCTTATCTATCTATCTATCTAATTGTGAAATATACATTTTAAAAAATTAGTTTCAGCTGTACAACATAGTGCAATAGTTATACTTTTTACCCCTTGAAGTGACAACCCCCTCCCCCAATCCACCGCCCCACTTTCCCCCCAATATCATACATATCTATTACAATTCCTTTGACTCCACTCTCACACTATACTCCATGTCCCATGAATATGTATATATATATTCACTTATAGTTGACATAAAATATTATACAACATCAGCTTCAGGTGTACAGTACAGTGATCAAGCCTCTACCCCATCTATGATGCGGTCTCCCTAACAAGACGTGGCCACCTGACACCCTACAAAATATTTACAACATTATTAATTATATTCCTCGAACGGTCTTTCATATCCCTGTGGCAATATTGTAGTTACCAATTTATGCTGTCTAATCCCTTCCCCTTCTCCCTCATCCCCGCCCCCTCCCTACTAGCAGCCATCAGTTATTCCTCTATATCTCTGAGACCATTTCTGTTTTTTGTTTGTTTGTTTGTTTGTTTGTTTTTTAAAGATTTTTATTGGGGAATTGGG